AACATCCAAGCCTATCTATCTTTCATGAAAAATTAAAATTTTAAAAAGTCAACACTGAAATAACAATGATTTTATGTTTACAAAAGTGTAGCTTAAACTGGCGTTAAAATCTCTAACTATTTTTAAAATTTTGGGGCTTTTTGGCGAAAGAATGTTCTTTTTGAGTGATAAAACGTAAACTTGATCTATTTTTTCAGCACCTGGGCAAAAAAACAGTTTTGCAGCTTCATCCACCATTGAAGTCACCGCTGAAATCGTTTGTAAATCGCATATTTAATGAGAAAATTTGACAAAAACTGTAAGGATAGATACTGAACATCCAAGCCAATTCATTTTTCATAAAAAATTAAATTTTTGAAAAGTCAACACTGAAATAATAATGATTTTATGTTTACAAAAGTTTGGCTTAATCTAGCGTTAAAATTTCTAATTATTTCTGAAATCTTGAAGCATTTTGACAAAAAAGTGTGATTTTTCAGCACCCTGGCAAATAAACGATTTTGCAGCCGTTAAAGTCACCACTGAAATCGCTTGTAAACTGCACATTTAATTAGAAATAGCAACAAAACTGAAAGAATGAATACTAAACGTTCATATCTATCTACCTTTCATAAAAAAATAACTTTTAAAATATTCAACACTGAAATAACGATGTTTGTATGTTTACAAAAGCATAGCTTGATTTAGCGTTAAAATCTCTAACTATTTTTAATTTCAGGGTTTCTTGCAAAAGAATGTGCTTTGTTTGGAGAAAAAACTTAAATTTGATCAATTTTTCAGCACCCGGGCGGAAAAAGCAATTTTGCAGCCTCATCCACCGTTGAAATCACCACTGAAACTCTTTGTAAATCATACATTTTATAAAAAAAATGTCGACAAAATCTGAAAAAATAGATACCTAACGTTTATATTTTTGTTTCCTTTATGAAAAATTAGTTTTTTTGTAAATTTTACATTGATTTTGTTGTTGCTGAATCAAGACAGAAACTTTTAAATACAAAAATCATAACTGTCACAACACACTGTATATGATTTTGAGTAATTACATAGCAATGTTGATTTATGCATCATATAATTAATTGCTCAGTTGAATGTGAACAACAATTGTAAAAAATTGCTGAGTCAGGAGTGGAGAAGAGCAAAAAATTGTGTATTTCCACCTGTTTTCACACTTTTTAGTTCATCCTCTCACTGGTAATAAACTTAAATCAAAGTTAGAAAATTAAATTAAGTGTCCGAAACTTTGGTCTTAATTTAATTAGCATAATGGGACCTAATTAGTAGCAAAAATAAAGTATTTATCGCTGTTTAAATCCTTTGATTACCCGTTTCTCTAGTTTGGAGTGACCTTTGGCCCATCAAAACAAATTTACTCCCAATTAAACCAATAGAAATATTTCTAGTAATACGGAGTGTGAATGTTTCAAGTCTACAAAGTACTAAAACTCGTCGTATTTTATCCTTTTATAAATTTTTACGATGACAGATATACAGGGCGTAGATGTAATTGCGATCGGCTGCTGCATATTTATCGCCAACGTAATTTGAAAATATCGACACCATAACTCGCAATTGTTTTTTTTTTCTCCACTTGGACCATTTAATTGTTTTTCTTGTTTGGAGGTCAATAAATATGATCTAATTGACAGAGTGCAGGAATTGAGCGGTTTCGACACTGGTTGAAAAAAGTGGAAGCGGACGGAAAGTAAGAGTATGGAGTAAATCAACAAGCGACGGGGAAAGTTTTTCTCACATAGACGGTGTTTGGGTTTTCAGGCGTTTTCAGGAAACGATACTTGGGGATTTTACAGGTTTGTCGCTTAGTCTAGCATTAATATCACTGAGTGGTTAATCAAAAAAGTGCTTTTTTCAGCATTTTAACTAAATCTTAAGCAAAACTAAACTAGAATTTTGTGAAACATTTGTGTTTTTCCTAATTTAAACAAAAAGGGGCTGAAATAGGTAGCACAAATTTATCAAAAAAATTCCTTTTTTTATTTATGTTTTTCAGATGGACGCTGTTTGAATTTTCAAGCGTTTTCAGGGAAAAACTTGGCAGTTTTAAACCGTTTTCAGTGACTTAGTTTCGTCGCTTAATCTAGCATTAATATCACTGAAGGTTTAATCAAAAAGTGCTTTTTTCAGCTTTAACTTTACATTTTCAGTTTACTACTTAACTAAATCTTAAGTAAAATTAAACATTTTGTGTAACGTTAAAATAAATTTTGTGAAACATTTTTTTTTGTTTTTCCTAATTTAAACAAAAAGGGGCTGAAATTGGTAGCAAAAATTTATCAAAATTTTTTTAATTTTATTTTTGTTTTTCACAGGGACGCTGTTTAAATTTGCAGGCGTTTTCAGAAAAAAACTTGGCAGTTTTAAACCGTTTTCAGTGACTTAGTTTCGTCGCTTAATCTAGCGTTAATATCACTTAAAGTTTAATCAAAAAAGTGCTTTTTTTAAATATAACTTAACATTTTCAGTTTAACACTTCACTAAATCTTAAGTAAAATTAAAGATTTTTTAACTAAATGTAACGTTTAAATTTTGTGACACATTTTTTGTATTTTTTTTTAATTTAAACAAAAAAATGCTGTAATAAGTAGCAAAAATTTATCAAAAAAAATTTTTTATTTGATTTTTATTTTTTTTTTTCACATAGACGCTGTCTGAATTTTCGGCGTTTTCAGAAAGAAACTTGGCAGTTTTAAATTGTTTTCACTAACTTAGTTTTGTCGCTTAATCTAGCATTAATATCACTAAAGGTTTAATCAAAAAAGTGCTTTTTTCAGCATTAACTTAAGATTTTCAGTGTAATACTTAACCAAATTTTTAGTTTAAAATTAAATAATTTCTACTAAATTTAACGTTAGAATTTTGTAAAATTTTTTTTGTTGTTCTTAATTTTAATAAAAAGGGGCTAAAATAGGTAGCAAAAATTTATCAAAAAAATCTTTTTTTTCAAATGGACGCTGTGGTAATTTTCAGGCGTTTTCAGGAAAAGACAAGGCAGTAACTTAAGTTTACCGCATAATCAAGCAATAATATCACTAAGCGGTTAATCAAAAAAGTGCATTTTTCAGCATTAATTTAACATTTTCAGTTAGGTTAACTAAATCTTAAGTAAAAAAAAACGTTTTCTTAAAATAAATGTAACGTTAAAATTTTGTCAAAAATTTTTTGTATTTTCTAATTTTGAACAAAAGAAGGCTAAAATAAAT